CAACCCCTGTAAATACATGAGGTGGGTGTATGCTAGCAGGTGGTCTTTTGGGTAGGAGGTCCCGTCATAGGCTCCAACCAGAACGTTTTTAACTTTAGCCGGTTGTACGGCTTCAGTTATTTCCCTGGAGAAAGCAGAGGGTTGATCTCCAAGGTGTTGCAGCCTTAGCTGCCAGTCCATCGGCTGATAGTCGTATGCCACCTGTCCTCCATAGAGGGTAGGTTGCATGTAAGGTAAAACTGGCGCCTGGTACAATGGTTGTGCCATGTACTGGGCGGACTGAATTATAAGAGGCCCAGACTGAACCCGTTGGCTGCTTGCTGGGGTCTCATGTACAGACTAGGAACACCTCACAGAGGTATTCCGAAAGCTATCATGATAAGTCGACGTTGAAGCTGACTCTGATAGCTGGGTTCTCTTCTCCTCGATGTATTGCCGAGCGTCAGAGAACGTCTTCTTGATGCCATCCGGCTGTACGTGCCGGATGGGTTTTCTTGTGCTCATTTCTGGGAAACGGAGTCGAGTAAGGTCAAATTGGGTCCGGGCCTTCTCCTTAGGGCAGGATGAGGAGTTGGATGACGGTCCCTGGCCGACTTCTGTTTGCCAGCTTGGGCTGGCTTCTTGGCCGACTACTCCTTTCTAGGGGCAGGCGACTTCTTTGAGGCGAGTTGTTTGATTTCACCCTTGAGGCTGCTCAGGAGTGTCATTAGTTCATCCCGAGTGACGGGAGTTGATCCTGCCGCCTGAGAAGGATCAACCGGCCGCCCCGAGGGCTTCTTTGGTTGACCAGAAGTTTTTCTTGGCCCTGCCTGGTCATGGTGGCGCTCCCGCCTTTCCTTACTGCGGATGCGTTTTGAGATGAGGGATCCATTTGGATCAACATAGGTTTCGACGTCAGCGTCGTCACCTGAGTCATGATCCGTTTGGACCAATATGTCTTCTGGAGGTCGTTCGGCCTCTGGGTTCGGTACAGGTACTTGTGAAGCCATTTCAGAGGTACTCTCCCCACAGACAGCGCCAAATGTTTCAGGGGTTTTTGTCCCTTGGGAGAGTTACAACACTGAAACTGGATTCAACTGAGGACGCCTATACCTGCAAAGAAAACGGACCGCTGGATGGTCGGGGGTCCGCCTCCGAAGATTAAGTTAGCAAGCGTTCGGTAATAAAACGTGCGGAAATAAAGTTATCTGCTCGGATTCCAAGCTCAGGTAAAGTGTGATAAGTGACGTATTATCTCGTATTGCGTGTAAAATTCTCTATTCTGTCATAAATACCAGAATATCCCTATTTATAGGGTCCTTTTGAAAAGTGTGCCCCTCCTAGGATCTGGTAACCTAGGAATTAGGTCACGCCGTTTTGCGGCGCCTCGGGATTTGGGCCTTTGAAGGCCGCCATCCCAGGGCCAATGCCTGAGTGACACGTGTCACTGAGCCCAAAAGGATTCTGAGGCACCTTTTGAGTGACACGTGTCGCCACCTGAATGGTCCCTTCCGGATCTTCAGTCCGCGTAGGACAGAGAAGAGTCCGCCCTCCACGTGTCATCATTCCATGGGTCCAAATGGCACCTATATGGAGGACACGTGGCGCTTTCTGATTGGGCCACCTGGCCGGGTATCAAATACCCAAATCAACATTAACCATTCAAAAGCTTGCTCCATTAATGCTTGATCAAACTCCACCGCACCATTGAAGCGAGGTCGGCGGCGAAGAGTGGAGATAAAATATGACGGTAGTTGTGATGATGGTGGTGGTGGAGTGATATTGAAATCTCTATGCTTGGTGATGAGGTCTTTCATGTTGAAGCAAAATTCAACATTCTTTCATGAGTGCAGTGAAGTGAAGAGAGAGAAAATGAAGTGAGAAAGGAAAGATGTACTCCATCTAATGGAGTGATAGTGAGAAAGACTGGTTCAAAGGAGAGAGAAAGCAAATCGAAGAATTGAATGGTGGAGCATGAAATGAAAAGGGGAAAAAGCAGGACTAAAACAAGACTAAGGAGACAAAGTGCTGAAATCAAGCATGAAGGGCAATTTCCAAAGTAAAAAAATAGCTTGAGGATATAAACGGAAGCACACTGTAGATTTCAAATAGTGACACAACTTCTGGTTTTTATAAGGGTAGAGATATATAATGTATTTTCTTACAATATATATTATTATCTTTTTTATGATTTGTCACCCTTTTTCCTTTTCTATTTTGTATTTTAATACTCCGTATCAATTTCCAATGTTTTTTCTATCCTAATTCCCAACCACTTTTTTATTCTCTTCAACCCCACATGCATATTTAATACACCTAATTATTAGTTTTAAAGGAATCTTTAACTTTCTTAATTCCCGTGCAAAATGAAAAATAGGCATATAATAAAGGGGCGGAGGGAGTATAATTTGTCTTGTAAAAAAAAATTGTTTGTTTCTAATCCATACAAATTAAATATCAGTTCCCATAATTTGTTGCTATATGGCAACAAGACAAAAATATGATGTCATCTAGTAATCAACAAGGTACAAAATGTACTTTAAAAATCTATTGAAAATTTTAGTTGCTAAAAAGCTTTTATTTTTGTAGTGAATAGAGCTCGATATCAACAAATAATAATTTAATTGTCTCATTTTATGCATCAATTGTGTTATTTCTCGACGTGCAAAACGAGAGACAGTTATGTTATTTTATTGTCAATCCCAACTTAATTAGGACCCATAAACCTTATTTGAGTAATTTTTTAGGCTAAAAAGTAACATCACACAAATCGAGACTTATCTTGACAAGAAAAATGATGCATTAACGTTATTTTTTTCGAAATTTCTAGCTATATTTGAATTTAATAAAGATTAAAATGACCCCTAAAAGGCAAAAACCTTACTCGAGCAACTTTTGCAGCTAAAATAATAATGACATGTCAATCGAGACATTTCTCAATAAGCAAAACGAGGCATTTACATATTTTTTTTGTCAATTTCGAGTTTAATTTGGAATCATAAACCAAAAGGACCCCAAAATAATAACAAAACATTTTTTTTAAACTCAAATTAAGGGAAAATTGTATTTTACTTATAATAAATTAAAATACGGTAAAATAGTGAAAAAAAAACAAAGAAAAATTGAAAAGAATAATCCCACCTTTCGCACTTCTGCTCAAAATAATCTCACCTTTGCGTATTTCAGAAATAATCTCACCTTGTACCCCAATCTTCCCAAAATGAGCCTTTTACCGGTTTGTGAAATTGGTAACCTGTTTTAGAAGGTAATATGACACGTGTCACCTTCTTATTGATTTTTTATTTATAATTTTTTAAAAATAAAGGAATTAAAAAAAAGAAATTAATAACCCTTCTTGCTTCTTCCTCCTTCCCCTACCGGAGTTAATCCCTCACCGGAGCATCGCCTGCCAACCAGTCGGACTCAACCACTCGCCGGAAAATTCGGACCCAACTACTCGCCGGAACATCCGGACCCAATCACCATGTTCCCCGATTCCCTCTCCTTCCCTGATTCCATCCCTTTCCCCAATTCTAGCTAATCGTACCACCATTATCACCACTGCCACCCCCGTTCCTCCAGAACAGCAAGAACCACCACCACTGTGACTTTCTCACCTGACCCAAGCCAGCCCGGATAGCCCCTTGAAAAAGTCTGTAATTGACGATGGATTGGAATTGATCAAAAAAATACCCACCACAAGCTCAAAATTGTTGAAATTAGGAGGCGAACTACTATAATTAATGGTGGATTGGAGCAATTGGTGATTAGTGAAGGTTGAATTAATGTTGCTACCTTGTTGGGTTGTGGGAAGCTGGCAGTCCGTAGGTTGTTACAGAGCTGCTACGAGGTGTTTTCGTGGCGGTTTGATTGTTGATTACAAGTGGTAAATTGGTAATTGCGGGAGCTACGATGCTTCGATAATCACAGGTTGCTAGGCAAAACTGACGGTGCGAGCTATTAAAATGGGTGTTGTGGCTGACGTTTAAGCTGGTGGTGATGGTGGTTGTTTGGTGTTACGAGTTGTGCAGTGAGAGTGGCGAGTGGGTTGTGATTTAGGCAGGTTTAAGAGGAAACTGGTGGATAATAAAAAGCTAAGGGGCAAGGGAGTGTGATTGGGGCAGCCACACTTTGAAGTTGGGAAGAGGAGGAAGGTGGGAATATGGTCAGTTTGGTGGTGATGGATGATGGTCATGGTGGTTGAGGTGGAAGATGAAGGATTAATGGAGGTTGGATGGTGTTTGGCGTTTGGTTAGTTGAAGATCGGTGTAGGAGGGGAAAACAGGGAAAAAAGAAAAAAAAAAAAAACTTTTCTCCAGGTTACCCAAAATGGAGGTTTAAGGTGGGATTATTTCTGGAATACGCAAAGGTGGGATTATTTTGAGCAGAAGTGCGAAAGGTGGGATTATTCTTTTCAATTTTTCCAAAAAAACAAATCATAAATGAAATGTGTAATTATTAACCCTGATGACTAACTGAGACCATTAGTTTTTAAGGGTACTTTGAGGTATTTTCGAAAAGGTGAAGGGTATTTGGTGGAATTTGAAAAAACACTAGGGTATTTGGTGAAATACGTTAATAAAAATAAAATAAAAAAAGCTCAAGACTTGAATTCGAATAAAAACATTCATGACCCAATTCAACCTGTTTAAATCCGAAAAAATGGTGATGCGAACTTGCTATGAGCCGAATAGTGACCTGAATTTGATATAACCCGACTTGAAGACCCGAGTTAATCTAGGGTCCGAGACTCGAATCTGAACATGACTCGACTTGGAGATGACCCGACCTGAATATAACTCACAAACTATTGACTTAAAATGCACTTGATTTGAATCCGAGAATGATCCAAATCCGTTTTAACCTAATATGACCCGACTCGAACATAAAACAATTTGAACCTAACCTGCATAGACAACTCTATTAATTTCACTCGACCTGATCTGAGCGGACTTGACCCACATTAACCCGGTCCGGACTCGAACATCCGAATTAACAGCTCTACACGGGAAGTAGGCGTTTGGTGTTTAGATTTAATAAGCGAAAGAAATCGAGAGGGAAGAAGACAGGAGAGGAACGAACTCAAGAGGCATGGCGACAAGATCAATATTAGCTCGATTTTCTTCAAATTTCTCTCTTCGAATCCGCCATAATCACAGGATTCTCACATCGAATTCCAATTCCTTTTCTTCATCTACTTCTGCTGCTGCTGTTTCGGATTCTTCTTCTTCGCCTCAAGATGACATTCATATTACTGATAATTGTGTTCGAGTAATCTTTCTCTCTCCTTAATTTTTTTGTGGTTGTTGTTGCAATTTCTATCTTAATTTTTCATTTTTCAATTTTTAGCTCGATTATAGTATTTAATTTTCTTTTATTTCGTAGTAATCGAATAACTATAGAGTTATTCAATTCTTCAATTAATTGTATTACTCATGTGAAATTGGAATTTTAAATTTCTGCTTTGAGTTGCGAGTATTTCTTTTATATACGCTGTAAGTTTTAATTTTTATCGATTGGTGAAATTTCCATTTGGTTACTGGAGACCTGTGTTAAGGATGTGTTGATTGTCAAAGAAGCTGGCATTGATTTTAGGGTTTTGAAATGTTTGAAACTGTATGATTTTGTAGTTATTTATATGGAATTTTATGTGTGGATTTTGTTGGGAAATTTTGAATTTTGGACGGTGTTAAAATTTAATGTTGGGATTGGATTTTGGAGGTAAAATTAGGATGATATCAAAAACTCTTTTTAAGGGTATTGAAGTAGATAATCAAGCTAACCACATAGTTTGTGTGGGAAAAATAAGATTGTTACTTGGTGAAAGGTGAGAATGGAGGTATGGAGTGGCGCTCATAAAGGATTGATCTTGTGTTAATACAAGTTTTCAATGATATATTATCATTTATCAACTTTTAATTGCACCATATATATTTTAAAAGATATGGACTTGTGGAAGAGTAAAAGAGAATTTCCCTATTTCTATTGGACTTCTCCAAGGCCATGCATGATGTCTTTTTCTCTTCAGAAGTTCTAGATGAATTAACATGGCATTTCATGGTGTCTGTCACTTGCGGATGGTATCAAATTGGTGGATGAGATTAAATTCTCATTAGGATTAAGGTAAATGCTAAGCTGTAGCAATTGAAGTATATGGAGTGCAAAGTATTGGGGGGAGCTAAGGGAGGACAATATTTTTCGATAGTAAAATTTTATCCCTAAGTGCGTTTAAGTGCCTTGGGTCCATTTTACAAATAAATTAATGTATTCGCCAAGATGCAATTCATAGTCGAGGAGACACAAATGGAGAGCAGCAACTTCAATCATAGTATATTTGTGAGGCTAATTGGAAAAATATTTATGGTAGAAATGTCAGACTTTAAGTATAGATAAAATAGATGTGTATGTTGAGAATTGAGATGGATGTAAGCATAACACAGATCCTTATTTTGAAAATTTAGATGAATGTTTGGGATCACCTGATGGTAGTTTTCAAAATGAGGACACTTAGAGTATGGTTGGAGTTGCAGATATTGAGGATATGTTAATGGAGAAGTGGAATACAGATAGAGCTGTTGTGTTGGATTAGCTAATTTCAGCAATTGTGGGGCAGTGTGCGCTACTCTGATGGACAGCTTGTGAGCTTCTAAGTGACCTGAAGTGGGTTTTCTTTTATTTATTTATTTTTTTTTTTATTTGGGGCTAGATATACCTTTTATTTATCTTTTTATTCTGAGTTTGCCTAATGTTTGGATCCTTCATTGTAGGAATGATTAGAGGCTTTTTTTTTTATTTTTTTTATTTTTTTTTTGGCTGACTAATGAATTAATGATACAGTCTTGGTAATCAGTATGTATAGAAATTATATGTGAACCTTTTATCTGTGCACCTCCCTCCCCACCTAATGTGTGTTTCATTCAGACACATGTCATCACCTTCACCCCATTTTGGGCTTTTGAGAAAACATATGACATTGATTACTTATATAATCACTGATTTGTTAAGTGCTAAACCAGTTGTTAGATGAGTGAGGGAAACAATTTCATCTTTAAATTAAATTGAATCGCATTATTTTTGTACAAGGATTGAATAACAATAAGAAGACATAGTTAACTCCCTAAAATTTGTTAGTTGCTCATCATGACTTGAAGTGGAGTGAGTGCCCCTGCTTCTCAATTAATCAAGATCATCAACTCCATATTACCAGCAATGCTCAAAATTTGTACTCAAATATTGGATCTATAGAACCTGCAGAATCAGCCTTTCCAGACAGTAGGTCAGTAGGAACAGGAATGTCAAATTCCTATTCATCGTTCAATTTTGTTCAGGGGAGAGGAGCTATATCTTGTTGTGAAGTGTTATTTAAGACTGTATCATTGGATTGCTAGGTTAATCTGTGGTCGTGCATAGTTGTCATAGTGAACTGCAGGGTACTATGTTCTTTTATGGATACCTTGATTGACTTTAAGGATGATGCATTTCAGAGGATGAAAGAATTGCAAGCTAGTGAGAATGGAAAAAAGATGCTTCGTCTTAGTGTAGAAGCTGGTGGATGTTCTGGTTTCCAATATGCTTTTGCACTTGATGATAACAAAACCAATGATGACAGGTAGTGGGATATTTCTTTATTTGTTTTTTTGTTTCATGAGAATGATAATATGCTTCTTTTGTTTGTCGTTCTCATTTAAAACTCATTTGTTAGGTGGTTTTCCATGTGATTAGCTTTGTTTTATATCTTTCATGCCTATGATTTTTCTGTGGATTTGTTTGGTCTATCTAGGAGAAAATTGTTTATTGTTTTGTTGTGTAACTGGCTGACAATTACAATGTTTATGTGGAAATTTGATTTTTGTAGAATTTTCGAGAAGGATGGTGTCAAGTTGGTGATCGATAAAATTTCTTATGACTTTGTTAAAGGTTCGAGTATTGATTATGTCGAGGAGCTTATTCGTTCAGCTTTCCAGGTCAGTTTTCTTTTCTTGAGAAGTTTGGTATGGAGTATATCATATATGGTATTGATGTATAGTGGATTCAAGAACTATAGATGCTATCTTTGGCTTAAACTCCCTGTAATGTCGTTTTTTTTTATCCTCTCTATGTAAAAAGCAATTCAATTTGACTAGCAATCACTTTAACATAACTTAAAATTGGTAAATATTGTTGCTGCAATAGTGTGGTTCATTGTTGATATCCTTTAAACCTCCGAAGAAGAGAAGTTCTGAACTTGCAATTTTTACTAGAGGGTGAAAGAATGGGACTTGTTTACTTTACTAGGGGAGTAGGGGGTGAAGAATGGGCCTTGTTTACTCAGAGTCAAGGAGAAAGTGAAACAAGGGTTAGCACTAGGAATGGTTCCATGGTTAAAATTGCCTACTATTAATTCATGGGATAACCCTTTTCACTGTAAGAAATAAATGAATACAATGGCTAAAGCTTTACGAAAAGAAAATCACAGATTATTGTTGCTTAAATTCATATTAATTTCAAACTTGAGGGCTTAATTGATATTGGTTTTTTAATTCAAAAAAAAAAAAAAAGAAAAACAGATGCTTTTAATGTGACTGTTATTCTGGCTTATATTGTTTTTGAGGCCTAAAACATAACCTATGATTACAAAGTGTTGTTTGACATAAGGTTGTAGCCATATATAGCTCTGTATATATTGCTAATGGTTGGGTCCACAGTGAGTTTGGGTGTGTTAGCCTATGATTATGTTGGACGATACATATCCCCTCCTTTTCCTGTTTTGTGGCTGCAAAACTTGATGTGTATTGCTAATATGTTTACAATTTACTTTGCTGTCTTATGCTAATTGTAGTCCATTTTCTTTACATTGTATGTTTAGACTGAATGGTGTGAGGGAAAGTTAAGTCAGAAAAGATGTTATTATTTGTTATAAACTAATTGTAATCAGTGAATACTATCATTAGAGCACATTCCATAAAATTGCGCATCTTTTGTGAGGTGGAAGGACTGAGAATATATTACATTCAACATCTCAAATCGTATTTACTACGAAGTTGTAAATGATTAATGACTACTGTTTATTATTAATCCAAGATTCCAATCCTAAGACTACATTGCATACTGTACGATTTGTTAAGATACTCATATTCAATGTAAAGGTTGCAGAACAATCTAAATTCACATCTCAATTTGGATGTCTCAAGCCATAATTGTTGTCCTTATTCTTTTGAAAATTTCGCTCTTTACTTTTCCATGCTTCTTTTACTATTGGTGCTTCTTGTAATTATACTGCTATCTATTGAGACATTTAATTGAGTTGGAGGATTGTTATTATTGTATGCAAACCAAGTGAGGTTCTGCTTGTTTGAAGCTGTATGATTCACCTCCTGTCAATTCTGCCATCTGATGATGAAGTAATACTGTAATACCATATATAACAAGGCCAAATCTGTTGAATGATAGGAGTTTTAGGATTGATTAGCAATATCAGTTTCACTTGATTTTTGTCTGAATATTGATCTCTATTGCTCTCTGAATTTATTAATAATTAAGATTAAAGAAGAAACTAAATCTCACTGTGTCCCTAATCTTGCCTTTAATTATATTTTCCACTTTCGCTTTTTTTTTCCTTTTTCTTTTCTTAATCTATTTATGCCTGCTTAGAGGTGAGAAATGAAGTATGGTATGTAGGCACAGTAGGTTTTAATAATGCTGAAAAATTTGGAAGGCAGTCAAGGCACACAAGCTTAGATTTATGTGCTATAGAATTTTGTACATTCCAGGTCTATTTTCTAAAAAGATGCTCATTTCTTGCAATTCCAGTTGGTGGAAAAGTACTGCATTTCTGCTCTGTACTATCCCATCTTGAAATTTGTTTGCAGGCTGCTAGCTTAATCATGGGATGCATAGAATGAGATTGTAGGGTTTTCAGGAATTATGAAAATTCTGATTTTGAAGTAAGATCCTCAGTAATTTGTAAATGTCTTCTAGAGCTCTAAGATAAGTAGATAACCTTTCCCTGAATCTATGGTAAAATTTCTTGTGCTGGTAGGCTAAGTTCCTCACTTTTTTTCCCCCTATCTATGAGGTTGGCGAAAATTTATTTTGCTGTTATTTGTGTGCCTGTCATCATGCCTGTTTGTGGATATCTTTTCTGCTCCTTGGCTCTGTTTTTGATGTATTAATTAGCTAAATGCCTGAGTGTGTTTAACATGCAGGTCGTTGAAAATCCAAGCGCTGTAGGTGGATGCAGTTGTAAAAGTTCATTCATGGTGAAGCAGTAGTTCAAACTTCATATAGTATATACTTACATATTGTCATGGAAAATTCCGATTCTTTTTGGCTCAGCTACAAACATTTGTGAATCCTTAAGACTGATAAGCTTACCATTGGGTTGATATTAATGCCCACTATCACGATGTAACTTAGACTGTAATGCAAGTTGAATAGTTGATGTCGAGGATTATTACCACTGCTATCGACTATTGCTACCTTTTGTATTATATATTCATGTGATAGCAAAGCTTTGATGAATATAAACCTCTGATTTGTATTTTTAAATTTTTTTTTTTGGTGAGCGATTTGTATTGTATGTAATAATATCTCTGAAATAAGTAAATTTTACAAAGTGGTCACACGTTATTTCTGTAATAAGCTGAATCACGCTCCGAATACTTTTAGTTGAAGTATTTTTTGTTGTTTGCATGGCAAACTTACAAGGCTAGGCTTGTTGATACTTAACAGCAAAGGTGGCCACAAAACCGAGAATGAATAGCAAACTTCATGCCATTAATAACAAAATTGTCTCTTTGGTGTTTAAGCAGATCATTTCTACTATGATTGTCAATTTTTCATGAATATGACAGTACCATACCAATCTGTCCACACTACACTCCCAGAAATTCTAATTTGTTCAACATCATCTATATTCCCTTACAACATCAAATAACTGATTTTAAGTTGGTGACAACTGACAAGTCTTAAGAAAAAAAGAAGTGTCACATTGGACATATACAAGTAAAAAGTATTTGAGATTATCTCAAGAAAAATTGTACTGTATTTTATAAAACCATCAGCCAAAGAAAAGAGAGTAATCGGTGAATTTGGAACAGAGGTTCACATCAGTGGAAGTATATGCCAGTACATGAAAATATTCAAATTTCCCATTATATTAAGTTGCAATCCGAACCATCGACTAGCTTTGGTTGGTCAAAATCAAAATTGAAACCTCGTTCATTATTACAAAATCAATAAGCCAACTGGCTATTCAATATCCCATCTAAATTCCAAAATGCAACAAACTTTCAAAAGGTGACACCAGAGAAATGAAAGATCAGTTATTCTGATTGTCTTTGACCAAGCACAGAGATGTCCTCATATCGTTTCTGCATAATTAGCAAAAGGAATTAAAAATTAGGTCCAAGAAAACAAAAATATACAGCAATTATTAGGGGGAGGGGGATTTTGAGCAAATTAACTTCTTCCCCAAGGCACTAATGCTATGGCACATAGAGACTCTAGGCATACAAGTTTCACAAAAATATGTATATATATACTACAAACTGGCCTACGAGCCTATATTGATAAAGAAAAATATTCGGTTCAAGACAATAACTATGCTAATAATAGGTTTCAAACTTCCCCGAGTATACTTCAGCATCCTCATGGATCTCAAATACAACCACCCTTCACTCACAATTGAGGATAAAGTTATATCAAAGTATAGCTACTGCACCTAGGTAATGCCAGATATTCTTGATGCACCAAGATGATTCTGCTTTATCAACAGATAAATGTCATAAATCCACACGCCCCTACTCATTTTGCTAAAGCCAGCAACAACATTATCCCTCATTCAAGAAACAATAAACTAATTTCAAGTAAAAACCCATCACAAGTTCACAATCCCCGTCTTAAAACCACTAGAAGTAACAAAGTGTATAATACTGTCTGGTTGACTGAGGGAGGCATTCGGAATTTATAATGCTTCACATACAGATACGAAAGAAAGAGGTGTCATCAGAAAATCCAGTTTTCATGTGTCTGAATTGCATAGTTTTCATTCCTCTTCCTCTCTAACAAAGAATGCTTCACTTACAGATTATCAAAATTCTATGCCTTCCTGTTGACATCCCTCATGCCAACCTCTAACCTCCAATAGAATGAAGAGCAAACTAGGGCATTGACATAAAGTGATCTACTCAAGAGATCTATTTAAAAATACAATACTCTAAACCTGAAACCAAGTATCATACAATTAACATTTATTAATAGACAAGCAACAGTACTAATATAGTCCCAGTACAAAACTAGTATTGAATGATTCAGTCAAATCATACCCATGAATTTTCTAAATACAAAATAATATAGAAAATAAAAGGGTAATGTTATATGTAGCCGTAAGGGCTATATATAAGCATTAAATATTCTCTTGGAAATTGTATAAAATTATGAATTCATGACATAAACACGCGTAAATCAGTGTAATTAGTGTTTAATTATTTTTAATTTTTGAACTTTTTACGATTTTCAAGTGTAAATTTATTGCTTATATGTAGCCCCAAGGGCTATTTATAACATTTCCAAAATAAAATGAAACCATGATTATTAGATTATTACAATCCCTAACAATTTTCAAACCAATCAAACTCCCACCTCTCAACACCATGTTACATTTACTTTGACCCGTTTAATCTAGACTACGATCCAGACATGGGATATGAGACTTAAATCAACAGCTATGTTACTCAAACATGGGATATTCGTGTCACCACTGTCAAGTTAGGACATATAGTTTAACTTAGACGTATCAAGGCTGATAATGCAGGGACACTGTCCTTAAATTGAACATGAGAACGAGGACATGGCATAAATGGAACAAATTCCTGTTTTTAGATGACTTTTAGCAAGAGTTCCAATGTCATCTCACACGAACTTGATTGTTAATTCTTGTTGAAAGCTTATCTCAAACGCATTTGTAAGCACATTTCTTACGCAATATTCTTTTCCTACATTCTATTTTCACATTTTCTTCTAAAATTATGTGATTCAAGATAATTGAAGTGTCTAGGTGAGCATTAATGTATCAATTAGAAGTCCACACCCTAGTCAGAGTGTCAAGTGTTCATCATGAGTATGGAAAACAAAATGGAAAGTCGAAGTGACATGACTTAATAGCACCAGAGGTCACCAATCTCACCACAAACAACAAAAACATACAAAAGTTAACCTGCCCCACCCTAACAGGTCAAATCCTTTTTAGTCAATCTAACATCCTTTTCTCTCAAACTCACAAGTACGACAAAAACCTATATGGGTCTTAAAGCTACAGAAGACACTATCTGCAATTTACTAGCAATAGCATGTGTTCCCAATTCTTTTCACTCTTTCCCCATCACACTTTATGCCAAAACTACTCAGACCAAAATGTAAGATAATTTCAGATAAAAAGCACTAATATCACCTATCTGGGTTATTCTTCTTGACTGTTAGTTGATCACAGGTCAACAAGAGGCAAATGCTGAGCCTCAAATATTAAATAACACTAGAAAGAAGGGGAACAGATATCCTTTTGCAGAGTATGTATTGGGATCAAAAACAACAAAGGAAAGGACACATAAAAAGTAAAAGCATTAAGGTGATGGGGCTCAGAGGCAAAACTTAGTAGTTAGTACAGTAATACCTTCTTAATCACCCAAATAAAAAACCGAATTGTTTTTCTCCCTCGTTAAATTATAGATACCCCAGGGGGGAAGATCAGAGCAGTAAAAGGAATAACCATAGAGAACACAACTCACATATTCATCAAATGTATTTCACAACTGATGATTCATCAATTATTCGCAGTGATATTACATGTATTTCCAATTAATGTGGTACATCAATGTTTGCAGTAAACATACAAGCATAATTTAGATAAATCCGCAAAAAAAGAACATAGAACTTGACAAACAAGCATGAGATAGACAACATACCCCCTGGTTGTTGTACTCCCATAGTTTATGAACTCCGTAGTCCACAGCCTGCAATAGCAAAAAGCTAAATCACAAATATTTTCGATACAACACATTTCATCATCAACAATGACACATGGGAAGTGGGAAGGGTTCCAAAATGTCAACAAATGCACAACATCATTAAACAACCAAGATACGTCAAATTACAAGAATTGCATTCCTAAGAGGTGGAGCGAAGTGATTTTGTTCACATGGTGCTCACGCGAATAAACATAAGAGTAAATATCAAGTCTTAAATGTTGAGAAAATCGACGATACCCCCTCCCCCTCCTCTTTCTCTCATAAAAAGGGCTCGCTTGCGCGCGTACACGCACACATATATTAAACGCAGGGAATTTACAGCTAAAAATCATATTAGATGTTTGTTAATAATAGAATAATTAGCACCGGGAAAGCTTAAACCTATTCTTTTGGATATAATTCATCACTTGACTAGATCAATCCATAATTTTGCACATTATTTTCCCCAAATAAAATAAAAAAAATCCCCGTTTTCTGGTATTTCTCGCTTAACTTCCTTTCAACAATATTTTGACTTTCACATTAGCAAATCGCAATCATCAATAGTTCATAAATCAGCATCAACAGTTATAACTCTTAATGACCCAAATTGAAAAATCGATCCTCACATCGTTATACAATCAGTTCAATTAGATCCAAAAACTCATAAATCATCAAATTGAATTGCAAATTACAAACAAAAAAGCAAAAAATCGCAACAATTGAAAAGCACAAACATGAAAAAAACAACAAAACAAATCAGATCAAAAAATCAGGAAAGACAATTGAAATCAAAGAATCGATAAAAAAGCGTACCCGTTCACCAACGAAAGCGCCGGCGATGACGAAGGTGACATAGACGGAGTTTCTGCGCATGAAGACACGGTAAAGGCCCTCCCATAGACCTCCGCCAGACTTCCTTGCAGCTGCTTCCATGGCGATTTTGTTCTCTCTTTCTCTCTCCTTTGACTATCTAGGGTTGAAGAAAAACCAGCGAAATTGGAATTTCTGGGGAGTTAATTGGGGAAATGGAATTTTAGAAAGAGAGAGTTTTTTTTTGAGTGGGTGAGTAGAATATGAATGTGTTTATGTGTTTCAGGTCCAATATTTAGGCCCGCTTTAAAAATCAGCCCATTCTTACTACCTCCTTTTTTTGACGGGTACTACCTCCTCCGTCTCTAAAAAATTGTTCGTGATTGGTGAGGGTGTTCCAATTTGATCATGTTTGGTAATTGACTTTTTAATGGTTTTTTAGTTAGTTTTTGGCTTTTGGCTTTTTACAGCCAAAAAATGTGTTTGGTAATTGACTTTTTAGTCAGCGAAAAAGCTGACTTTTAAGCCAAAATGAAAAAGCTGCTTTGAGTAGCTTTTTTGTTGGTTTTTGGCTTGTTAGCCCACAAATTATCTAATAAACAACCAACAACCAACAATTAATTAACCAAACACTTTTATAAACAGCCATCTTAAACAGCCAATTTCAAAAGCCATTATAAACAGCCAAACATTCCAGCTGGTCAAACAAGCCAAGTGAACCAGCCAACAACCAACCGCCAACAACCATTTGCCAAACAAGGCATTTATTTTCATAATAATAATAAAGAAAAATCGTTTATTTAGTGGCGTTTATGTAAGTTA